TCTATTCTATTCTATTCTATTCTATTCTATTCTATTCTATTCTATTCAAAGACTTGTTCTTAAATCTGTAATATATCTGTAACCCAATGTACAAAATCATTCATCCTAAATTTGTGATAGATTTGAATTAGCTTATGCTCTAATTTATATATGCTTACTGAGCCATTAGGCTTTTTGGTTGGTTGATTGACTCCCTGATTGCATAGTGGAGAACCAGGTGAAAATCCATGAGATAGGTTCCTGATATGATTTTCTTTTATGTTTCAGCCTTATCCCTGTACTTATCCTCTTAAATGTATGTACTGTACATAATATTGATTATAGATAGGTTCCCATATGCTGTTCTTCAACAGAGAGAGAATTAACACTTCTTAATTCTTATGAATTAAACCAATAGCACCGAGTTATAACATTCAGGACTTCAAATTAATTTGCTATGGACTAAGTTAATTCCTATTGTAATTATTAACTATTTGAAATTTCTTATCTTAATAGGATCCTTACAGGATCTAGGATCACAACTCTTCCAGAATCAATTTGTGAGCACCTCCCTAATCTCCAAATACTGTAAGTATAGTGGAGAGAGGATGTTAAATCATACCATTGATTCAGAGAATACATACAGTATTTGTTATAGGGGGTTAACAACTATCTAAATGATAAATCATCAATTGTATAATGACTTTTAAAAAAGGGAAATCTGGACTGAAATTAGCCATACATTTACTATAGCAATTTGGATAAAGAAACAATCCTCCCTAACTTTGTACTGTCCAGATGTGTATTGGTATTGGGAAAGATGTTGTAAAATGGGGTGAAGAGATGTAGCCTAGGGAATAGTCAGATAAGAGATAGCATAGTCTACACTTGGAGAGTGGACAGGGCAGGAGGCTCAGAAGGGACACTCTCTCTAGTTTCTCAGGCTATAAAGGAGACAGTAAGAAAATTGTACTTTCCAGCTTGCAAGATTCTGTTAATGTATCTTTACAATGAAGTAGAATTAGCTTAGCTTGTCTATCTGAACTATCTGATATGTCTGACAAAATGTGACACACCATAACTCTTAGAAATTCCCAGGGAACATTACCCATTTGGAGGGTGTTATTTTAGGATGCTTTTTAAAAGATACTTTTGAAAATCAAGTTAATATAGGGTAGAAGAAAATACTACAATTGGATAATTCTAGTAGATCAAGATAAACAAGCAATACTGTAAAAATTTCAGATCAGAACTAACAACCTGATTTACTTTATAATTATTTTTAAGGGGGAAATTTTAAGAATGTACACAATGATGACTTTACCAATTATTTACATTTCTTCCTATTTTTCAAATTATTTTTAAGTCATCAATTTTTGGAAAGCACCCTGGATGACAGAAATATCCTGTTTTCTTCACCTTATATCAAATCTAAACTCCAAAACTTTTTTGACAGGACAGGATGCTTTACTGAAATATGTTTTTTAACATGTCAATACATGTTTACATTGAAATAAAGTACACACTCTGTTCTTGCTTAGATATGCTATTAAGCAATCCACATTTGCAACATCATGTTCTTAACATTTTTCTTTCTCACTTATATTTATTCAGTTTGAACATCAAATAGTTGTTCTGAGCTCTTTTTCATATAATGATTAACCAGTATATTGTTGTAACTTTCAAGAATTCTATGGAAGTAGTTTAATCACTATCAAAAATAATTATTCTGTCTGATTCTTTGTGAATCAGCCAAGTATATTTTCCGTTTACCATTACAGCATGATGAATGTATCTGGTACTAGTCTGCCCAGGCAACATGCTAGCAACATTAATTATAATATATACCCAAAATATGTTACAAAGCCACAATTCTGAGAATAGAAAATACTTCATTTACTGGAACTATATTACTTATTGTTAGCTAGATGTCTCTGTATTACTGAAATGCCTCTTTATGAATATCTAATACCATTAATCTAAATTGATTTGATAGATGATAGAAGATAGATAGATAGATAGATAGATAGATAGATAGATAGATAGATAGATAGATA